GCTAGGTGCTCATTAAATATAGTTTATAGCACAGGTCATCATCTGACAAATTTTGAGCGCTGCTGCACAGATCCTGGCAACACTGTATGTTGTAGCAGGGTTGGTATCTGAAAGCAACTGTTGTTGTTGTTTAGTCGTTAAGTCGTGTCCGACTCTTCGTGACCCCATGAACCATATTGCGCCAGGCCTTCCTGTCCTTCACTGCCTCCCTGAGTTTGCTCAGTTTCATGCTCATCTGAAAGCAACAGGGTAGTATAAAATTCTCCTGTGCCCCTGGGTATTTATGTAATGGTGGGGTGAGGCTACTACGAATGTCTCTGCAATGTCTCTGCAATGTCTCAGGCACTAGAGAAGCGCATCCTCTGATGTTTCTGTGTGTCCAGAGTCACAGGGACATTGTCTCTCCAGGTAAGGGATCTTGGGGAGGGCATGACATTGTGCCAGAGCAAAGGCCTTTCTGTGTTTCCATTCATTAGATTTTCCCTTGCCTTACAAGGAACCTCTTGGTTCCATGTTTATCTTTCAAAGTCACCATTAGATCTCAGAGATCTGGACTTGTATCCCTTGTACTCTGAATGACTCGTTCCTTCCCTTTTGTACCCATGTCATTCTTTCTGTGTTCATCCAAGCCTTAAGGTGTCCATGGCCCACGACAGTTGATAATGCTGAGACACACTTGGCCCAGGAATCCCATCTATTTGGGGACTACATGACAGTGACATGCAGGTCTGGATTTAGAATGTTGGATGGACAAGAAATGGTAATTAGCCGCTGTCAAGGAGATGGAAAATGGAGTTTCACTGCACGCTGTGAAGGTACTATTTCCTGATTATCAATAATCACTCAGTATGACCAATCTCACAATCGTTTCTTGCCTAAAATCTTTATCCAGTCCAAAGCCATCTTTGATCCCCAACTGTCAGCCCTTCAGGATAGTCCAGACCAGGAAACCAAAGTTATGAATGCTAATACTATTTTTATTATGAGATTACAGAATCAAGCAAGTCTGAATGTGCCTCGCCCCTCCCTGCCTTTACATTCAAGAGAACCAGGGAGGGTCAAGTCTGGCAATACTTTCTCAAATTACATTCCTGCTTTGGACTCGGATTTCTCTTATCTGACCGTTGTCTTGGTTGCAGTTCTTCCTGTTCCTCAAGGTTATTTTCAGAGCCCATTACATCAACATCTTCATCAAAAGGCTAATCAACAGTTGACCTAATTGACTTTATACATCCCTGACCTGCATTCTTCCTGTATGTTCTCTTCTTTCCCAGATGTTCTTAATTTTCCATTGTTCTGCAAACCTCCACCTGAGATTGAAAATGGATACCATGAAAATGGTCCTTACACCATAGGAAAGGAAGTGCTCTATAGGTGTAACCGTGGGTGAGTCCATTACTCCATTTCTTCACTGAAGACTCTCCTAAAATTCTGAGCATCACACATGCTACAACTCTGTTCCTAACTAATGGAAATGCTTAAGAATGACAAGGCATCTGTCACTCTTGGATTAGTATACCAATAGCATTGGGCTCTTCCTTTCACCATCTCTGCCTGTCCCTCTGCAACTTGCAGGAAGAACCTGGAGATCCTATGAGCAAAGTCATCTCAGAATAATGATTGATCAGTTTGAATTTCTAAATCTGAACTTCTAACATCCTTATGGGAATTCTCACCTCCACAGAATTAACCTCAGATTGTGAAATCTTTGTCTTTGTGGCTCCTGGTTGAAAAGTGTTTAGCTGACTATCTTCCCTGAAATCACTATTTGAAAGTATGAATGTTTATCCCCTGCCTAATATTGCCATCTTTTTCTTCTTTTTTCCTTGCTCTACAGATATTGGTTACAGGGGGCCAATTCTCTCTTATGCCAAGAAAATGAAGAGTGGTCAGACAGTGCTCCAACTTGCCATCGTAAGTAGTCAAGACACCTCAGTGGAAGAAGATGAATACAGCTTCTTTCAAGTTTCTTAACTGTGGTCAAGTAGAAATATTCTGTTCCATGGCCATAGTAGCAATATGTTGAACCACAGACTTCATGTAAGGGATGGCCAGGCATGTACACCTGGATCAACCACCTGTAAACCAAAACATAATGATTTCAACATTTGCCTCTTTCTGTTCATCTTCAGATCTGTAATGAATAGATCTATCTACTCATTACCCTTTTAACCATTAAATCATAGCTGCCTTCTACATATCTTTCCATCTCAACGTACAGGTACATTTCATAGGTCATTCCATACATCCATATAAGTTCTTGCCCATTCACCTTCAGTTAGTTAGTTAGTTAGTTAGTTAGTAAATTTCTCACCCGCCCATCTCCCCCCAATGGGGGAACTCTGGGCGACTCACAACAAACATTAAAAACATAAATAAATATATATACATACGTAAAACATCAATTAAAAGCATTACTAAAAAAGGGGAAGGATTACTAAAAAAGGGGAAGGAGAGTCCAAGAAGATGAAAAATCTGAGGCTGAAGACAGGAGGCCTCTATGGGGCTAGCCATCTCCATGCTTGAGATATTCCCTCCCCACCCCAGGCCAAGTGGCAGAACCAGGTCTTCAAGGCCCTTTGGAAGGCCAGGAGTGAGAGGGCCAATTGCACCTCCGGGGGCAGAATGTTCCAAAGAGTGGGTCTACCGCAGAGAAGGCCCGCCTTCTGGACCCCACTAATCAAAGTTCTTTCACAGAGGGGGTCCGAAGCATGCCCTCTCTGTGTGATCAGGTGGGACGGGTTGAAGTCATAGGGGAGAGGCGGTCCCTTAGGTAACCTGATCCCATGCCATGTAGGGCTTTAAAGGTGATAACCAACCCCTTGAATTGGACCTGGAAGCAAACTGGTACCCAATGTAGCTCAGGGAGCAGTGGCGTTATATGGGCCCTCCTTGGGGCTCCAAAAATAGCCCGCGCAGCTGCATTCTGGACCAGCTGTAGCTTTGGATACTCTTTAAGGGTAGCCCCATGTATAGCACAGTGCAGCAGTCTATCTGGGAGATAACAAGGGTGTGAGTGACTGTTTGAAGGGCATCCCGAAGGGCATCAGTTAACCCATCCATTTAATTTGTCCAGCCACTCCCCTGTTCAGAGACTCATCTAAGACTTTCTTTTTCTCTCATCAGCTGTTACCTGTTCCCGGCCACCCAACATTGCTCAGGCAACGCTGGTGGCCGTGCATCAGCCTGAATACCCAGTGGGAACTGTAATCTATTACTTGTGTAAAAAGGACTTCTACCTAGATGGCTCCAACAGAGTCATCTGTCTGAAAAATGGAAGCTGGTCCCAACTGCCACACTGTAGAGGTACCTTCCCCTTTAACCCCTCCCATCCTTTTATATATAATATTAAATTCCAGCTCCAAGTTCTGTTTGCCCTTCCAGATGGCACCATTACTTGTTTCTTTCCCACTCCAGCCCGCTGTCCCATCTTTGCCCAGAGGAGTCGGATGATCTACCATGGACGCAAGGTTTGGGCCTATGAGATCCCAAATGGTCTTGTTCACCACGGTGAAACTCTCACATTTTTCTGCCGAAACCAGAATAAGACCTGTAGTTTTGAGGCCAAAAGCCGTTGTTTTGATGGTGTATTGAAGATGCCTGACTGCTATGATGGTGAGGAATAAAAATAACACATATTAGGGCTCAATATGGTACATAGGGTTACTATATCATGGCTTCTTGATCTTTTACTGGGGTATTTGAGGCATAAGCAGTAGATGTGTATCCCTGTAGAGTAACCAATTTAAAGATGTACTTCCAGTTTTTGTCATACAGAATCTAGTTCCTCATTCAAACAAAGGTAACAGGCACAAAAATTGCATTCTTACAAGAGCAAATCTGTGCTATCTGAGCACACAGAAAAAGCACATTTGCATAATTAATTGCAATTACTAATTTGTGGTTTGTGCTCTAGAAGTGTTCATTTCTCTCAAAGAATTTGAGATGAGAAATGCATAAACCAGATGGTTAACTTCCTATTTCACACATTCTACTACCTTCCCCAAAGATGTACATAACCGTATTTGACAGACAGGGCCTCTCTATGTGTGTGGGTATTCCTTTTGATAAAGTTCCTACTTGCCTTTCAAAGGTTTTTTTATCATTTCTCCTTCTTCTCCTTCCTCTTTTCTTTCTCCTTCTTCCAGAACCTACATATTTGCAATACCATCTATTCCCCAGAAGAGTTGTATCTGAAATAAGTGCTTGTTGAACAACTGACCAGTCACTCCTTTAGCAATGAGATCTGTCTCCTTCTCCTTGTTCAAGCTTGACAGACATCCTGGAAGTTCAGGGAAAAAAATAGAAATGAGAAGATCAATACCAAGAAAAGAAGTCAACCACAGTGAAAAGAGAAAGCAAGCCTGGATAGTTAGGTGTTTATTTTATTTATTTGTATCTGTTGCTCACTAGGTGAGTACAAAGATTCTTTCAGGCCATCCCAAATCACAACTCAATTTCTCCTGTACTTTTTTTTAAATCTTCCTTCCACAAGCCATATGGTTAAACATAGAAGGAAGCCCCCAAACTATCCTCCAAATAGAGAGGATTTCAAACATGAAGGAAGTTCATGCCCACAACAAGTAAAGGCACATAACGTGCATTAGTCATTGTAATCCTAATTGTAATCCTAGAAAAATAAACCTGCAATATTCCTTTATCCATTGTAGATGGGGAGAAACTGCCTTGGAAAAACAATGGTTTGCTAAGAGTTATAGTGGAGACTGGATACATTTGAACCGTGAAGTCCCTAGCTAGCAGTTCTTACTCTTTGGCATAGCTCACTTTAGGCTGAGAAAATATTCCTCTTGAGCACAAGAGATTATGGCAAGCAAATTTTAAAAAAAGTCTCTGATTGCAATTGAATTAATTACAGTACACTGAGTTCAGTAAACTCAACTGAACTCAGAGAAATGCGTAAGAGTAAACAAAACAAAAAACATGATCCCAGTTTAGGGATCCTGTAGCAAACAAGTTGAAGCCAATTTCCACATCACACTGGTAAAAGGCCTATGACCGTATACTTACATATCGCAGTGAGGGAATGGAGGAGTTATGGCAGGGCGGTATTGTCCCATTATCCCCTAGCTAAGCATGATCAGTAGCCCTGAGGTCCAGTTGAAGAATAGGGTTTGAAAAGAAGGCGGCTGAAAAATGAACCTAGGATAAGAACAGATACAAAAATATTTTTCTGGATTGATTTGTATATAATAAATTGAACTTGTTATATAAAAGTGTGATCTTGTGCTCCAAAAGCAGGGCATGCCTCTGACTTGAGGCTGGCTTCATTGATTTATTAGATTTACAGTGCACATAAATTGAGTATATTTATGGGGTAAATTCACATGCGCCCAAAGCAGTAAATATTATGTCTTTCTTCCCATTTCATTCCCCAGCGAAGTAGATAATACTGTAAGGTATTGGATTTCCCAAAATGTAGGGTTGCCATTTTTTTTCTGGCTGGTGTCCCTTAACAGAAGATTACCTGCCAGAAGAAACCTCTACAGATTTTGAGAAGGAATCTGAACTCTGAACCACAAGCAGGCCAGCAAAAGCATTGTGAGGAGCATCTCAGGGACCTGGGCAGGAAAGTTGCTGTTGCCCCTGGAAATGAAATGCCCACCTTTTGCGTTTACTGCATTTCCAGGCCATAGGAAAGACTGCATGCCTTTTGAATTTCTGCAATGTGTAAAACTCTTAAAAGCACAGGAATCATACCCTGGGGCTATACACAAGACAGGAATTAGGGGAGCAGGTAATGTTTTCCCATTTGTCCCCCATTATGTATTTTCTGGGCAGCCTTTATGCCCCGGAAGTGGGGAAGAGTGGGGGCATCTGCGGGGGAGGTTAAAAAGGTCAAGAATGGCAGACCCCACTGCACAATTGAAGCATTGTCCTTTGTTTAGGTGCATTCTGATGCATATAAAAAAGGGCAGGATTTTGATTGAGTGGTTGCGGCTGCCATCTTGACCTTTTTGCCCTCTCCTGTGGATGCCCCTGGGGAAGGGAAGAAAGCAATGCCCAACCAAATATAAACCAGATTAAAACACAGAGCACTATAGGATTGTTCCATTTCATACTACTCAACTGAAGACTAGATTATAACTTTAGAAGAAATGGAAACCAGAGAACTGTCACCCTTCTTTTTTCAAGTCTGGCCACATGGCTAGTTGGCACTGGGTGAGATTTTGTCACAGGCTGTCTTTGAGTGAAGTCCACAGAACATTTCGATGGATTAGAGCAGTGTTTCTCAACCTCAGCGACTTTAAGATATGTGGACTTCAACTCCAGCTGGCTGAGGAATTCTGGGAGTTGAAGTCCACATATCTTAAAGTCGCTGAGGTTGAGAAACACTGGATTAGAGGAATGATAAATGAAAACCAGGAGATAATTTTCCTTCCACACAGGGCACATGTGGAAATAGGGAGGCTGCAAATTGAGAAACCCACAAAACAATACAGAAAGGCTGGGCTCACACAGCACTAAATCCTAAATCCAGATTTACAAAACGCAGTTGTGTATTTACATAGCGTGCTTCCTAGGTATGATCAAAAATGTCAAGATGGCAGCTGCAAGAACATAATGTGGTTGGTTTGGTTGTAGTGTACTGTCGTGTGTAAGCCAAGCGCAACGTGTGAACACCCTCATTCTTTGTTTTGAAATCATGAATTTATGATTTAGCACAGTGTGGAAAAGAAACAAAATCTGACATTCCAAATTTCTAGCTTGGAAGTGCAATGCGTGAATCCATCTGCTATAAATTTGTTTTGTATTCTACCTTTGCATTCAACAGAACGAACAAGACAACTAAATGAAATAAAATAGAGAAAACAAGTAAAATGTCATTTAAATAAAAACATACATATTCCAAATATTATAAAGAAATTTCCATCACAGCAAAAATGATTAATCATACAAGGAAAGTCAAAAGATAGCATTTAAAAAAAAACACACATAGCTGGCCGTATATAATACCAGTAACAGCAACATAATGTCTATTGGCATGTCTAATATCTATTGTCCTTGTGATGGTATAATTTGATATCTGCCTCACATCAAATCATGTTAAAATATATGCGTCCAGTGATAGATATAAATCTTTAGGTAGCTTAAAGGCAGCATGTATGTGTATAGCCTAGTACTTAATGTTGTGACCCTGAGCCAGAGAGAGTTAACCTAAACCAGACTCACAACACTCTATAAAAGTCTTCCCAGGGACACTGGAATAACTTGGGAAGTTCTCAAGGTCCTGAAGGGACCACCTCCGAAACATCTCTCCTGGGCCACCTGTAATTTTCTTCTTTTGAAAAATAGGAGGCAGCTGGATCAAGCCCACTGATCATTTCCCCTTATGCCCCTCAGCTAGTTTCATTCTATTGCATGAAAAAGTGGCTTCACCAGTGTTTCTCAACCTTAGGAACGTTAAGATATCTGGACTTCAACTCCCAGAATTCCCCAGCCAGCCTTGTCACAGGGAGTCCTGAAGTCCAGATATCTTAAAGTTGCTAAGGTTGAGAAACACTGGGCTACACCCTACTATCCAGGCCCACTTAGAGCACCATCATCATGGCTAGGTTCCTAGGGGAGGAATGTCAGGTTACTCTGAAAAACACAGGCCGGACCTCACCCTTCCTATCCAACCATATTTTAACAGTTCGGCCAGACAGCCCTCCCTCGCCAGCATCAACCGGGTTGGGCGCCAACATTCTGCTTTTCAGGTAATTCCACTACTTATCAAAAAGCTAATATTACACACTTGGAAAGACACACTTGCTCCAAAACACATTGGTTGGACTGAGAGAAGGTTGCATGGGACTCCCCATGAGAATATCCTTTATAACTGTACAATGTAGTTTCTAATTTTGGTTGTTTCTTACTCTGTTTTTATTTTGTTTTAACCATTAGCCACCCCAAATCGTGCATATGAGATGGGCGGCCAATACATTTATTAAATAAATAAGTAAAACAAAAGAACTACAGAATGAAGTCAGTTACTGATCTTTTAGTCCAAACTAATACAACCACCCTTTTTAACATAGAATCATGAATTTCTGAGTATTAGCTAGGGGTTTGAACCTTGCCCCTTCTCCCTGCAAGCTCTCCGTTTTACTACTCAGCTAAAGTTTTCCTCTTGTAGCATTATAACTTATCAGCTGTAAAGATCATTCAGCAGAATCACAGGAAAAGGGTCAGGGTAAGCCGCTGAGTACTGGGTATACCAAATGGCTGGTGTTTGGATTGGAGAAATTGATTTCCCTGCTAATTGCTAATTTTATTTTTTTTTAAAGGGTGGGGGAAAGATGCCTCTAATTTTGGATGTAAGAAAGGAAGCTATCTGCAGCGAGCAAACTTCCCACAGGCGTGCTTTTATAGGGTTTACAAAAAACACACACCCTATTGACATGGTTTGCATAGACAGCATGTAGTTGTGTGTATAAGCAAAATAGAAAGAGGTGAATGTTGTAATTGGCAGAAACAGGTTTTTTTTTTTAATATACTGTGTGTGCGTATATATATATATATATA